GGGGCCGGCCAACTGTGTCTTCCTCCGTGTCCGCGGGGCCACCGAGGTGGAGGACACGGTTGGACACTTACCCTGGTGCTGCAGGGACTTCAGGCCTTGCTGGGCCTGGTTGTGCAGCTCCTCCAGGTGCGGGGGCCGCGAGCTGGGGAAGAAGACGTTGTCGGGGCATCCCTCACTCGCTGTGTACTGCACGCTCAGACGCTTCTCGGCATCACCCTTGGCAGCGCCTGCGGAGACAGAGGGGGTCAGTTTGGATGAGGGGGGACACAGCCACGCTCCCACCCATGGACCCTCACCCATGGACCTCCCACCCACAGGATGCGGCCCCAGAGGGAAGCGTTGGGTGATGACGGCCAGCCCAGGGTGACGTTATCCTGCTCATCTCCGAAATGGGAGATGCCACACGAGACATGGCCACCCGCGGCTCTGCCCGACGGGCGATAACACCGGGGTCGGGCTGTCTCCCTGGTTTTCTCCCCGCCAGCCGGAGCGGAGCTGGGGCACGGTGCTGCCCCTCTCCCCAGTGCCCTGGTTAGGAGCAAAGGAGGCAGTGAGGTGTGCGGGGTTGGGGGCAGCGCAGCAAGAGGGGATGAAACGATGGAAAAAGCGATGCTGTTCCCTTTGGAGGGTTGCATCATCCCCAGGCCTTGCAAAGCATGAGAGCAAGGACTCACCCAGTGCCCAGGCCAGCTGAGAACTGCACAGATGAGGGAAACTGAGGCACAGACTGGTACAGACACCCCAGATGACCCGTATACCCCTACTCAGCCCCCCAGGTGCTGGAGACCCCCCATGCCATGCCATGGCCGGCACAGGGGTCTCACAGCCCCCTCCCTACAAACAGCCACCAGCACCCTGGGGTGCCCATGAGAGCTCCAGGCACTGCGCCTGGCATCGCCCGGCCATGGCACCGTGGGCACAGCCCTGCCTGCAGCAAAGCCTCAAACTCTTCCTGCCTGGTAAATAAACAACTTCGGGCTGAGGAAGGGAAGGGAAGGGCGAGCACGGCAAAGCGGTGGGGTTGGGGGCAGCACCCCGGGGACACGGGTACCGGCTGCTCAGCATCACC